CGATGCTGGCCTCTTTCCAAAAACGCTCATTGGTATTTATGGTGACACCTTCATGGGTGTCTTAGTGAGCATCCTGTTTGGTTTGGGTTGTGTTTAGAAAGCAGGAGCTCACCAGACTGCCGGGCACTGTCTTTGTCTCAGTCAGAGAAACAGAGCATTTCCTGCTGGCAAACCACTGAGAAGGTCATCATTTCTTTACATGAAACTGTAAGCCTGCTGTCTTAGGGCAGTTTGAAATGACCTTTGGGCTGAGATACAGATTAATGACAGAGTGCTTGCGTCACGTTTGGAAAGTCACGGGTTCTGGCCCGAGTATGACAAAATAAACGAATTTTTTTTTTTTTTTTTTAACCCTGTAAGAAGAAACTGCACTCTGTTTCAAACATCTCCCAAAGCCCAGGGCTCTGGGTGCCCTTAGGGTAGCACATAGCAGCTGCCCCTGGCTGCCCCTGGCTCTGCCCAGTTCCATGCCACTCATCTGAAGCCAAGTTTCTGTTCTCACTCCTGCGAGCCTGAGGGGCTTATGATCTGCAGCACTTGGAGAGAATTCAGAACTGGGAGCCACTGCTTAACATCTTCTCTTGAAATCTTTCCTACCCGGGGAAGCGTCGAGTTGCTCATTAGCCGAAGATCTGAAAGGAAGAGCTTTCGCTCTTTGCTCCAGCTAATGCCTGCATCCGACTCATCTGGGCCTGTCCGTCGAAATTTATTTAGCCAGATATGCTCTGAGGCAGTGTCTAATCCAGAAAGGAATATATTGATATCTGGCCATCCAGCCCCCTTTTCCTTTAAAGTGAAGCATTGATTTTTATGCCATTTAATTTCCCAGTGGGGCAAAAATGGAATTGAAAGAAATAACTGCTGGAGTAGCTACGAGTGCAGGGAGGCTTAAAGCAGTCCCATCTGTCTGCCACCAGGCAGGTGGTTTAGAGTAGAAAATAAACCTCTGGGCTAGAACCGCCGTGGGGATGTTTGATTGCAAGGGTAAGAGCAAGAAGGACTAGGAAGGAGGCTTCTGGGAAGGGTTTTGCCACAAGTGGGATTGGGGTTCTTCTCCATAGCTTTCACCTGAAGTCAGATCTGCTTTTCATTTCAAAGGGGGGCAGGTCATTTCCACAGGACTCTCAGCCCCACTGGGGTTTGCTTTTCTCTTTTCATGAATGCTACAACTTAAGCAATGATCTAGGAGAGCAAAACTTTTGATTGACAGAGAAATTGTAGTTCAGGGAAAGTGCCCACTGAACCCAGGAATGTATTGACGGCGAGTCCGCGGAGGGATGCCTCTTGTCGGCTCTGAAGGCAATCACAAACTAATCATGAGCTCTGTTTAGTCAAGGAAGGCCGCGTGGCTTATTTCTTCTTCAGATTGAAAGGCACGTGTCTTGTGATGTCTCTGACAGTGGAATCAATACCATGAAATGGCCTGTACTTTCAGCCTTTGTTTCTTACAACAGGATACCGTGGACAGGATTTGGAGAGCAGTACTCGTTGTCCACACTGAATACTTTGTTACAAGTGCTAGAAGAAGTTGATACAAGCAGTGTGCAATTTGGATATAGAAAACCTCAATTTACTGTGATAGGTTGATAGGTTAGGATTGTTTTTTTTTTTTTTTGTTTGTTTGTTTGTTTGTTTTTTGAGACAGGGTTTCTCTGTGTAACCCTAGAACTTGTTCTGTAGACCAGGCTGGCCTTGAACTCACAGAGATCTGCCTGCCTCTGCCTCATGAGTGCTGGCATTAGAGGTGTGTGTCACTACTGCCTGGCCTAGGAGTGATTGTTTTAAAGTTTTGTTTTGTTTGTTTGTTTGTTTGTTTTTTGAGAACCTAGACTGGCCTCAATCTTGTACATAGCCAAAGATGTGCTTGAGTCTCAGATCCTCCTGCCACTGCCTCCTAAGTGCTGGGATTGTAGGTGTTCATCAGCAGACCAGTATGTGTGCTGAGAAAGAACCCAGGGGTTTGTGCCGCTAGGAACCCACCAGCTCAGCTCCATCCCTGCCCTTTTCCTTTTGATTTTAGTAATAACTGAACAGGAAGGAGATCTGAGAGAGGTGAGTTATTCTACCCATCCCATTCCACAGATGAAGAAACTGAGAAAACTGAACCTTATGACTCTGGATCCCTGGCATCTACTTTAATATGGGGCAGATTTTCTATTTTCTATTTAAAAAATGTTAACTCTAGCCTAAGTTTGCAATGTACATTTCTCAATTACAGTTGTCTTTATTTGTTCTTTCTCCGATGTTCATCCTTTATGTAGATCCAAAATTTTTCTTTCCAAGTTAATATGTGTATATTTTAGTTGAAGTACCAAGAACATGGTGAGCTTTCTTTATTTTTAATTGAGAATTTCATAGTGAACGTTATATGTTTTGGGCAAATCCACCTGCCCTCATTCACTCCCCTCCAATTCCTCCCCTGTCCCCACTATTCCCTCCCAATTTCATGTTTTCTTTCCCCCTCCTCCTCCTCCTCCTCCTCCACCTCCTCCCCCTCCTCCCCTTCCTCCTCCTCTCAGATCCATGGTGTCCAGTTAGTACTACCATATGTGCACGAATGCATGTCCATATACTGGCTCAGATACCACCTCTCAGGGACCACCTCCCTGCAGAAAACTGACTCTTCCTTTCCCAGCAGCCCTCTGTTGGCAATAGCTCCTCAGCTAAAGGGAAGAATTCCTGACCACTTCCTCCTTTCATACTGTGATGTTTTTCTGTGACTGGGTCTTGTGCAGGTCTTACGTATGCTGTCACAGCCACTGTGAGTTCATCCATTCATACATTCATATGTGCAACTTCCCTATTGTATCCAGAAAAGTGTTTCATGGTAGTTCTTCACTGCCTCTCTGGCTCTTACACTCTCTCTGACCCCTCTTCCTCAGTGATCCCTGAGCCTTGGGAGGAGGGAGGGTGAGAGAGTTGTCCCGTTTAGGACATGAGCACTCCCCAATCCCGTATTCTCTGCATGTCGACCAGTTGCGGGTCTCTGTGTTAATTGCCATCCTACTGCAAGAAGAAGCTTCTCCAATGAGAGTTGGGAGATGTGTTTATCTCTAGGAGTAAGTTTACCTCTATGTACATTTAACAGAACAGTAGCAATAGGTTCTCCTGTGGGGCCTGTGATTTACCTGGCCACGGGTTCTTGGCTGCATCAACAGAGCCAGACATAAATTATGTCTTACGCACAAGGCCATAAGTCCAATCAGAAAACGGCTTGTTGCTTCTATAACGTTTGTGCCTATAATATTGTGCTTCAGGGGGCAATAACAGTGTGTGTGTGTGTGTGTGTGTGTGTGTGTGTGTGTGTGTGTGTGTGTGTGTCTACGATGTGTGTGTCGGTCAGCTGTGAACGTGAGAGGACAACTCTGTGGAGTCAGTCTCCCCCTTCTCCTTACATGGATGCTGAGGATCTCAAGTCACCAGGCTTCCACAGCAAGTGCCACTCCCCACTGAGCTGAGCCGTCTCACCAGCCTAGGCTCAAACTCTTACCCACCTCCCCATTTTCATTTTAAAGTTTCTGGGAGACAGGTTCACTGACAATGAATTCCTTCAGTTTTTGTTTGCCAGTGGAAGTTTTATGCTTCACATTTAAAGGAAGGATCTAGGGTTGTTGTTGTTGTTGTTGGCTATAGAATTATTCTAGGTTTTTCTTCTTTTGTTATTTTAAACATTTTATTTTACACCAAACATATCTTGCTTGCACTCTTCTGGTAAAAAGTCCCCTATGACCCTCATCCTTATTTCTCTAAAGTCAAATGAAACTCCCATCTTCTTTAAGACAGTTCTCTTTGCAGGGTATCGTAGTTTAGATACGATAGGCTGGCATATTCTTTCCTTTTGGTTTTATGTTTGCTACAGAGTTTTAGTTTCATGGTGTTTACATTAGATAATTTACTTCTCTTCTGTCAGCCTACATCACACACTTTGGTGGTCTGCCACCACCACACTACATCTTGAGTGTGGTCTACTTTTGGCAACTGAACCCTTGACATTCTAAGATGTACTTTAAATTGCCTGTTAGTGACCTAACTCTGTGTGGTGGCTGAGTCTGAGTTACTGCTTGCTTAATCTCTGGGTGTTCTTTTGTTTGCCTTATAGTGTGCCTTGTGATTTTCATTCCATTTTATATATTTGTTTTTTTGGTTGGTTGGTTGGTTGATTGGGTTTGGGACATTTTGCCTTTTAAAATTTTTTCCCATTTTAAATTAAATGTGTTCTTTGGCAGTTTCACACATGAATGTACGAAACCCCCAGACCTCTCCCATCTCACTATTACCCGTGTCTACCTCCCGTCTTCCCTACAATCTCTTTGTCACATTCATCTATTTATTTTGCTGTGTGATTCACTGAGCCATGGATTTGGAGGAAGTATCTTTTTTTTCTTCTTCTTTTTTTTTTTTTCCTGAGCTGCGGACTGAACCCAGGGCCTTGCGCTTGCTAGGCAAGCGCTCTACCACTGAGCTAAATCCCCAACCCTGGAAGTGTCTTTTTTAAAGATAGGATCTTGCTATGTAGCTCAGGCTGGCCTAGCCTAGCCTCTACTCATGTGGCCCTGCCCCAGCCTCTTAACTGCTCTCCTCATCAAACAAAGGAAGCATGGGAATTTTATTTAGGGAGTTTATACAATATAAATGAAAATACGTGCAAGAGTGGGCCTGCCTTTGAGCATGCTCAGTTTAAAGTCATAGACCACATGTTCACAAAGGAGAAGGGAACTGGAGAAGTGGGTCAGCAACTAAGAGTCCAGGCTGCTTCTCAAGAAGATCTAGGTTCTAGTCCTAGTACCCACGTGGTGGCTGACGACCATCTGTAACTCCAGTACTAGGGGATCTAACGCCCTCTTCTGGCCTCTGCAGGCACCAGCTGTGGACATGATGCACAGACATCCATGCAGGTAAAACACCCACAAACATTAAGTAAAAGAAGGAGAAGGAGGAGGTGAAGGAGAAAGAGAAGAAGGAGGAAGAGGAGGAGGAGGAGAAGAAGAGCAAAGAGGGAGTGCTGGTCTTGGCAGCATACATACTAAGTTGGAACAATGCACAGAAAATTAGCATGGCTCCTGTGGAATGACGGCATGCAAATCCATGAAAATATATATATATATTTGATTTTTGGAAACAGGGTTTCTCTGTGTAGCTTTGCATCTTTTCTTTAACTCACTCTGTAGACCAGGCTGGTCTCGAACTCACAGAGATCCTCCTGGCTCTGCCTCCTGAGTGCCGGGATTAAAGGTGTGTGCCACCACCGCCCGGAGCATTCTATATTTTTTAAAAATAAAAAAAAAAAAAAAAAGGATGCAAACCTGAGCATGCTTGGCCCAGGGTCAAAAGGGGAAACTGTTGGATAAGAAGCTTCTGGCCATGGTAGGTTCAGCATTACAGTGAGTCAAGTTCACTTTAGTTGCCTAAAATAATGAACCCGTGTTAGGTAGTTAGTAGTCAGCAGGAGGAGGGGACATTATTCTGCAGCCTTCCCTCATAATCAGCAGTGCATCAAACCAGGCACAGGAGCAGCAGGTCCCTAATTACTGCTCAGAGTCCTAGCTCTGGCCCTGGGAAGAGACGAGATATCATTAATTGATAACTATCAAACCTTCCAGGAACCTGAGCCCTTATGAGATTAATGTGTAGGAAGAGGATTTCTGATAGAAAATGAAAATATATCACTTTCCATCCTGCAAGAGTCAATCCAAATGGGCCCCTGGGAAAGAAGAAGTCTCTCAGGAAAACTGCCTGTCCTAGAAGCTTAAGAAATAGTATAACATCTGCCAGAAATGTAAATCAGGCTAATGGTCCCTATTGTCCATTCTCAGTCCTTGAGAGACCTCCAGGTTACTCTGTAATGAATTCTACCCATTTTCTCTCCTAATCTCTGTGTCTCATCGGAATCTCCATGGAGATTGCAGGAACCTGGGAGCTAAGGAGAAGCAACAGGACTTCAAATGCTTAGAGATACTTGGTGACCTTGGCTAGCTCTTCTAAATTTCTCCAAAGAGTTTTAGATGAAATGTAAAGAACAACCCTAAAAATGTATCAGCAGGCTCTTTAGGGGTGGCAACACTCTCCCCCATATGAGGGAAGGAGTTGGTTCCTAAAGGTGCCTCACATATCAGATAATGGTTATATTGTATAATAGGAACGGAGATGTTGGCGTGTAGTGTGAGGATTTGTGTTAATATGGCTAGACGGATTAATTGGGCTGTATTTATTATTTGTGGCAGCTAGTGCCAGAGGTTTTGGATTCCTCCAATGTTCTGGTTTTGTTGCCCCTCTTGACTGTGGGCTCCCTTAAATCACCTCCACTGAGATAGCCCGTTTCCGGCAGCCCTTTCCACTATGGAACTCTGTTGGTGTGGTGGTGAGGCCTGGGGAATGCAGGTCTCTATCCTGTGATTAAACCTCAAGATTCTTGGCCAGCCTGAGTCTACCGGCCTGTGCTCTTCATATGTGTTTCTTCTTGGCCAACTCTTCTGCCCCCCAACAAGAGATGAGAGAAGAAGGGGCTGGCATGAGGTGAACTCTCTTCCTCTTGGGTGTAGGACTACCCTAAAGCCGACGGAAGCCACTCAAGAAACCCCTGGGTACATTTCACACAGATCGCTCTCCCTTCCTCTCTGATGTTTACCATAAGTAATTCCTAGGGTTCCCTGCAGTGATGTCGGCCAAAGCAAGAGGCTTGCTTAGGACCAAGACTGTGGTCCTTACAGTGACCTACAGGGCTAGGGCACCAGCATTTCTGCTCCTTGTAAGTAGATCTTGTTTATGACCCTGGATCTGCCCATCTCTCCAGGTCAGGGAGACAATCTGCCTGGCAAACTCAGTTATTGGGCCATTTGCCCAGCCTTTCCTGGATGGGATAAGAAGTATGACTTGTGAGCTCTCGGCCTATCGGAACTGAAGCAAGTATCTTTGTATGGTCTTCCATTATATAAGTGACCTAACATGAGCATTAATAGAGGAAAATTGCTCAAAATGATTAAGCTTCTCAAATAATTTGGAAATAGTGTAAAAAATAAAAGGACAGCATCTGAGCCCCTGTTTGCTGTGTAGCAGGCCTTTTTCTAGTTATAAAAGACGGTGTGCTTTGTGTGGAGCAGTTTGTGAGTATAATGAGTACTGTGGGAGGAAATACAAGTTGCCTCTAGTTTGAATAGACGAAGACATCCAGCTAGTGTTTCATCACATCTCTTCCATTTCTTCTTTGCCACATGGTGATCATGAGCCTGGCTCCTGTTGGCGTCATTTTCATTAGTGCATGGTCCTTGAATTAGCTGAATGTTGCAATTAGCTACTCCCTGTGCCACTGAAGTATTCTCCAAAAATATTTGGCATCCACATAAAAAAGTCATCACAAGGGTGTATCGTGTTTATTAATTAGCTGTTTGGCTATTTTACTATGATAATCATCCTATGCATACATTTTCGTATATACCTTACATTTTCCCAGAAGTTACCTAGTGTGGTGATATATTGTATACCCTGAAACTTGCCTGAGGATCAGAGGACAGAGCCAGCCACTAGATTAGACATAGAGGTCAGGCAGTGGTGGCACACACCCTTAATTCTATCACTTGGGAGGCAGAGATCTGTCTGGATCTCTGTGAGTTCAAGGCCACACTGGGAACAGAGCCAGGCAGTGGTGGCACATGCCTTTAATCCCAGTACTGGGAAGCACACACGCCTTAAATCTCAGGAAGTGATGTCTGGGCAGAGAAAGGTATATAAGGCACGAGGAACCAGAAACTCACTCTCTTTAGGCTGAGGATTTCATAGAGGTAAGAACCAGTGGCTGGATGCTCTTGACCTTTAAAGCTTACTGCAGTTCTCTCTTTAACAGGAGAGCCTCAAACACTCCATACAATTATCAGAAGACAGATGAGAGTCTTTGGAAAGCTCCCAGCTCTGGGGGTGGAGCTCCTTTCCCTACATAGGCAGAGTGAGAATTCTCAGCAGTTCTACTCAGGGCAGTCCAGCTGTTCTAGCAGTGGCCGTGATCCCCTGTACAGTTATGCTCCAAGCATCAAAGCTGCTCCTTGGGTGCCTAGAGCAGGAGACACAGAGGTGCAAGATCCAGGAAGTCTACAGATAGTGCCCTGTGGGGAGACCAGCTCCCATCCCCCTACCCCCCAGGGTACTCTTGAGGAGTGATGGGTAAGAAATTTAGATAGAAATATAGAAGAGAGAGACAGATAGAAACATAGGATAGCCTCAGGAGGGCGTGGGTCAAAACCCACCAGCCTCTTCTGTCTCTGCTAAAGGGCTTTTAAAGGAATGGCAAGGGGTGGAACAAAAGACCTCCCCCTAGCACAGCCAAGTGCAGACCCTTCCAAACACCTGGTAACCACGCCTGTGGTCAATCCATCCCCTTATGCAGCCCTGCTTTGTAAAGTGAGCTCAGATCTCACTAGGAAACCTCTGTGGACCCCAACCGTACCCAGAGTCAGACTCCAGCCCAGGAGCGGAGTACAGCTTGATGGATAAGGTTAGAGATGGATGCTGACATTTTGAATGCCCACAGGGCCAAAAACAGGTGTGACATTCTCGAATGGTTGCTACAGAAAAACAAAACAAAAACAAGAACAACACCCCCCCCCAAAAAAAGAAAAAAAAAAAACCACTGAGGTATTGACAGCCCTTGTTAATGAGGCAGCAAGGATGTGATGCTGATGAGGGTGTTGTGGCTGCCCTCTAGGTGCTGAGCCCAAGACTTCATCCAGAAAAAGCATGTTAGGAGAGACCAAGAGGAAGCCTAGGAGACACCAAGAGGAAGCCTAGCTGGGTGGTAGTGGCACAGGCCTGTCATCCCAGCACTCGGGAGGCAGAGGCAGGAAGATCGCTGAGTTCAAGGCCAGCCTGCTCTACAGAGTGAGAGAAACCCTATCTCGAAAAAAACAAAACAAAAAAGAGAGGAAGCCTATAGAAAACTCGCCATCATAGCCATTCCAGGCGTGGCCGCCCTGCCCAGCCACTGCAAGGCAGCTGTACAAGAGGACAGGTCTCCAGGTAGCCTTAGCTCACTGGCTGCTCTTCTCCTATTTGCAGTCCTTAGACATTGAAGATGAGACATCCTGAGCTCAGGAGAGCATCTGAAGCATCATGGCTGTGTCCTTGCCTCCCAGGTCGGCAGGTTCTGCTATGCTTTGCCCACCAGGTCAAGTGGCAGCCACAGCACAGTATTTAGGGGCTGCTCAGCTGTAGTGCAAATCCCAGGTACGTGCTGATAGGATTCCATCTGCCATAGGCAGCTTCCTGAGTTGTGAGTGTTGGTTCAGCGTGGTACAGGCATCTCTGACCTCACTGCTTATGTGCAACAGACTGGCCGTGTCTGACCTTTGGTGGAAGGGTTCTGTCATTGGACTCACACATATGGTAATGCCATTGTTCTGATCCACAATCCATTTTTAAACAAGATCTCCAGGTGATCCATATGCACCTTGAAGTCTTAGAGGCACTGGGCAAGGCCTTCAACACCAGAGAGCTGGGCCTTTCATATCTAGATTGTTATTTTGCTTCCAGATATTTCTAATGCTCAGAGGATTGATATCGCTGGAATAATATTTAGTAATGTAAGATTTTCAGTGAGTTCATTTTTTTCTCTAAGAGAACCATTGTACTATTTTCAAGTGATTGGAGATCTAGAATTCTCCTTCTGAGGTGGCCCAGGCCCATTTCATTGACCCAGAGCCTCCCAGGCTCTGCTCACGCTGGGGTGTCATTGGGGTTTGGGCTACAGGTCTGGCAGGCAGAAACCTCTGTGCCATTCTGGGGGTAGGCTCTACTTCAGCAAACATGATATCCTGAAGCTGCAATGAGAAATTACAATTTCCTGTTGTTAGAAGACATGAAAAGACATGCTGTATCCTATGCTTCGGGCTCTGAATGCATATATAATAGTCACTCCTCCGTTAGGGTACACAGAACCACTTCACATGGCTGGCGGGTAGCATCCATTGTGATTAATAAAGGCGTCATCCTGCTTTGGGCACAGACGTTCTGATAGCAAACTGGAAACCTGACTGAATTTTATTCTCAGACTAGCCATATGTACTGAAAACAAATGACCCATTCCAGGCAGTCCAGGCCTTTGGCCTGTTCTTTCCATCCT